ATAGCCATCCTCGCCTACATACAGTACATAGAAACAGTACACTCGTAGGATGAGGAGAATCATCAGGCTCACCACACTTCGTCGACTACACCAACAACCAGCAGATCCCCTGCCGTCTACAAAGCGATCGGGCATCAACACCAGCCTCGAGAATGGTTAAAATGTCGCTGAACGTAGGCATGTGCATGAGCTAGTCCCCCCTGTGCCACGGTCCATTGGAGCCATCTGTAGCGACTGGGAAGCCATTCCGGCATGCTGCACCCTTCACGGCGTACGCATCATGTAGCGACCCTGAGGCGACAGAAGCCCGGCCTTGCTGTTCTGATCTCTCCCTGAGGCGCCTGTTGAGTACCGCGTCGACCTTGATGGGCCCTTAAGTCTCTCACTTGGTACCTACCTAGAGGCGAAATAGCGATAGAAGTTGAGAAAGATGACGGGACAAGACCAGTCATCTCACGTTATCGACAGATCAGCCCCAAGTACAACACTCATCCCATCCCTCGGCCTGCCAAAACAACGGGTGCCAGCATCGACAGTGTCACGTTCGACGCCCTCTCGCGGGCCCCACACACGCACACACAAAGAGCGCACAGATCCAGCGTCGCGGACGGACATGGCACTGCCTTCACCACCGTAGCTGACCCTTCCGTACCACCACTTTCGCGCCGTGCGGCATTCATCTGCTCACCGGTGCAACCGAATACTGTAACGTCCCGAAGCGCGTGGCTGAAAGAGTGCCTTCGGCAGTGACTTCCAACTCATGTGTGCCTTATTTCAACGAAGGCCGCGGTCACCGCGAAATACGCTATTAGAAGACAAAGAAGGGAAAAGGGTAAAAGGAACAGTGTAAGGGAAAGGGAAAGAAAAGAACAGGAAAGAGTAGGAAGTCTGCGAACCCCAAGTCGTCTTCTGAGAGCTTGTAGAGTTCATACCATGAGATCCGTAGATATGCTGCCATACCTTAGTGTTGTGTCATCCTAGCAGCAAGCCGCCCTGTCAGAAGGCCAATGTGAAAAGCTAATGAATGCAAGAGGCAAGTTGTGAAGTGCAATCGGACTTGGTCACTTGTCCGACCTCGCATAAGAATTCACCTCATAGATATAGGTAGAAAATGAGGTCGCAAAGGTATATTGCCCGTTAAGACTGGACTTATACTACGACGGAGATATTAGACAAGTACAATACAAACACAAAACCCCCCGATTGCTTACCCTACCTACCCAGTGCACGCTCGATGCAAAAGGGAAACGCCACGCCAATGCAAACGAACACCACCACCACGGTCTTCACAACAATCAATCCGCCTTAGCAGCAACCCCCGAGTTGCCCCCCAACAACCCATCCATCCCTCCCGCCTTCTCCCCCACCCTAAAGTATCCCTGCGCCGGACTCCACATCCTCTCAACCCTCACGTGCCTGCGCGCCATAACCACCATCCCCACTACAAACCCCAAGGCGAAAACCGCGGACACGAGAGGATGCTCCCACACCTGGCCTTTCAGAACCCACCACACATGCCCCAGCGCCGTCGTCGTAGACTTCGGACTGATTTTCGGCGGATTGCTGACTACCCGCGGCAGAGTTTCCAGAATCGATGTGCGTGAGGGCACGATCGGGTTCCCCGTCATCGTGACGTCCCAGTAGCGCTGGTGATCGTAGTCATACATCACGACGCGCTCATTGTCCGAGAGGACCGAGATGCCAAAGGTCGTGCGGACCCAGCGTTCCCAGAACACGCCGTCGACCCAGGCGAAACCGACCTCCTTCCGCTCAATATCATCCATGTTAATCCTGATGAGTTTCGCAGCGCGTAGAGCCCGCTGGTCATTACGGTCCTCGGCCTCTTCGATCCGGAGTTGTTTCGCAAAACGGAGTTCCTGGCGTTCGAGCTGGAAAACCTGTGTTTGCTTATCGATCCATTCGAGGGCTGCGTTTTTGATCTCGCGTTTGTCGCTGGCGAATTCCTCGGGCCGGTCGCGGGAGAGGATGCCGAGGACGACGAGGCGGCCGGCGGACATGATTTCCTTGGCGTTGCTGGCGGTGAGTTCGGGGACGATGGGGAGCCAGACGGTTTTCATCCAGGCGAGGACGCGGCGGAAGTCGCGCATGGATTGGGGGGTGAGGCCGGTGTAGTAGGTGGGTTTGCCGTCGCGGCTGACGAGGAGGCGGGGCCAGGTGGAGATTTTGTAGCGTTCGCTGAGGAGAGGGTCGTTGGTTTTGACGAGGCGGGCGTGCCCGATAAGGGACATGACGAGGCGGTCTAAGGCGGCGAAGTCTTCCGCGGTGGTGGCGTGGTCGTAGAAGTAGAGGAAGATTACTTCTTCCTCCTCCTCTAGCTTTTCGAATTGCGCGGCGGTGACGTCCATTACCGGCTCGCCTACTGCTACGGCCTTGCTTCCGTAGCTTACGAGATCGCCGAGTCCCCTTAATCCGTCGTACTCGATCCGTTCACCGCCACGAAAGAAGAGGATGGTCGGGTATCCGCGCACTCTGACGTCCTTGCAGAGACGCTTCTCAACTTCGCAATTCACTTCACCGATGTTGAGTTTGCCCTCCATCTGACGCGCCATGCCCTGCCAGTTCGGAGCCATGGCGGCGCAGTGGTGGCACCAAGGGGCGTAGAATTTCACAAACCAAGGATCATGGGTTGTCGTTACCAGCCGCTGGAAGCTCTCCGCGGTCAAAGGTATGCTCTTTCCAGCGGGATTAGGAGTGTCAGGAATTCGAGTGGCAGAAACGGTGCTCTTCGTGCTGGAAGTCGTTCGGGAAGCCGCAGCGCCAGCTTTGCCCTTCCCAGCTGGCAAGGGAGGCTGTTCCGGCATCAAGGTCTTCTCGACCTCCTTGTCCCCTACCTTTGGCAGAGTCGGCCCCGCTTTCGGTCGTGAACCAGGTCGGATGGTTTCCAGCACCTCCTCCACCCACTCACTCATGAACTTCAGGTCCTTCCCACCTCTCTGAGTCTTCACCTTCTCTCCGTCCTTGAAAAGCACCATCGAAGGGAATGCTTTCACGTCCTTGGCCGAACATGCGTCTCCGTTGGCAACACAGTCCACCTTAGCAAACTTGAAGTTGTAGTATCGCGTGAAGCTATTGAGATCGGATTCGCTCTGCCCGCTACCGGACGTCTGCGGTACCGGGTCCTGCGTATAGTAGAACTCGTACAGCGTTTGCCATGTCGGAGCAAAGTCTTTACAGTGACTGCAGTAGGGGCTAAAGAACTCGACCAGCCAGTAGCCTCCATCTGAGATACTGCTGTCCAGGTTGTCTTCGTTGAGTTCGATACCGGGCGGGACACTCTTCCCGTTGAAGGTCGTGTTTACCAGTGCGCCATTGGTGGAGGTCTTTCCGTCGTGTCCTTCAAGCTTATCGCCAGCGTCTGCTATGTCTAGTTGTCGCTTGGGGAGATCGACGGTGTCAGAAGGTGGCGCAGAGGCTATTCGAGAAGCGAGGATGGTGGGTATGAGCGGCAAGGCGAGGAGGCGGAGAAGATAGGAGGGCTGCATGGCGGGCGGGCGAGATGGGGCTCAAGGCCCTCCAGGAGGTGTAGTGGTGGTCAGTCGCGGATGTGTTGGATGCGTGGCTTGATCGCGGTCGCGGTCGCCCTCGGTCGCTGCAGGTGCAGAGGTGCAGGTGCAGTGGTCGTCGCTTGGCGCAATGATGCAGTGAAAGTGAGACTGAGGAGACAGCCGGCGAATCTGCTGTTGCTATGCTACCCAGGTATAGGCACGCGAAGGCAAAGTACCTCTAGTCGCATTCGTCCGCTTCAATCCAACATTCGTCTCATGATCCCTCCCACTCCGCTTACCTAACCTCAAGCGGCGAGCTGCCAAGCCGTCGCCTCCGCCATCGAAGCGCCCATACCATTGCGACATGGACGTAGCTAATCTGGCTCTTCACGTACTCCACACCCACACAGGAACGCAGATATGAGACCCGCACTCCGGCTTCTGGCTACGGCCAGCAAACAGGGCAACTTCCTCGAAGCCGGCGCCCCAACCGGCCTCACTGGCCTCTACACCCATTCCGCCCCGCGCTCCACCCTCCTCTACCTCTACAGCAGCACGCTCGAGAAGCTAGGCGCCCACTTTCCCGAAAGCAGCGTCTACCGGCAATCCACCGAAGCTCTCACCCGCCACCGCATGAGCATCGTCGAGCGCGTGAAGCCGGCCGGGCTCTCCGACTGGCAGACTCGCGTGCAGAAGATCGTAGACGAGCACCCAGAGGCCTTCCGCAAGATCCCCATCACCACACAGCAAGGTACAAAGGAGTTCAATATTGTATGGAAGAGTTCGGCGAAGGAGGGAATGCAGACCGCCGAGTGGGATGATGAGGTGCCAGGGAAGTCGACCCTGGAGGGTCCGCGGTCGGAGGAAGAGCAGAAGGGTCAGGTGGCGAAGATGAGGCGAGATCCGGTGGAGGAGCACAGGGTGATTCCGCGGATTGAGCCCGAGCCGCCGTTGAGCGCGGAGCAGGTGCAGGAGATCGAGGGAGAGGTGGGCAGTGGGCTGATTGAGGAGGTCGTTCAGGTGGCAGAGGGAGAATTGGAGCTGGTGAGCAAGCTGGCTGAGGCCAAAGTGTAAGTCACTGCAGAACGAAACCTAGGTGCTCAAAACACATTCACTGACTATGTCGCAGATGGGAGGACCTCGAGGAGAAGCCTGTGGAAGGACAATGGACTTACTTCGAGCGCGACAGGCATACTCCTACCACCCAAGCGGCCTAAAGGAAGCCTATTGGCTTCTAAAATCACTGCAAGTCATTGTCAAGGCAGCTCTATGTACAATTGTATATATACTACTACATCGTGTAGAGCCTCTCCAAGCAATGTTGCGCTACCGAACACGTACGATATTTGCGACGGTAATAGTGCATGCATCTAGCATCACCGTCCTTCGAATGGAAACCATCTCGACGCTTGAGGCCAAATCTCCGGATTGCGCTTGTGTGCGAATGACTAAAATGACACTATATACATATTTGAGAGCCCATTTGTCACATCAGCGAGGATGGTCTAGTTGGTTATGACGGCCGCTTAACACTGCATTGTGAAACGCGGCAGGTGCTGGGTTCGATCCCCAGTCTTCGTACGCTGGAATAAGCTCCTAGAGCTTTCCTTTTGCACTGTTCTTGTCCAAAGTGGCATCATCTTTTTATCGTAAGGTAACGTTGAACAACATGCCTCACGTCTCTATTGGAGCAGCGTCGTTTCATCCTCAAGGACCTGCAATCTCTGAACTCCGTTGGTTCGAAGTCTGCTGTAGCTGCCCGGCCCGGAGCGTCCAGCGAAGAACCACCTCCAGGGCTGCATGTGTGCATGTGACGTCGAGCAGACGTCGATCTTGCAATGGCGGGGCTAGACCTGCCCCGCCAACAACGTGCGTCGTCCCACATGCAATCAGCTCTTTCCTCTTTACCACTGCTTTTTCCCGACTGCACCTGCTGATCAACACACTCATAGCCCAGGTGTTGGCTTCTACACCCGGTATACCCAGCAAGGTGAGCCTTCCCTCCAGTGATCGACGGTCACTCGCGGCGGCAAGAGCTGTCCAAAGCGGTACATTGAGCTCACCATCCATGTATGCACGTACAGCAAACACCATCAGTACAGACTCCATCTGGCTTGCGCTGCCCGTCCGCCCACGCTACCCTCGAACGACAGCAATAATTGTACGTCCTAAGTCCAGCGAGTGACGATACCTCATCATTGATTATAGCTGACGATGCAGGTAGTCACCGTAGGGGTGCCAATTTCGCTACTTCCCCTTGAACTACATTGAAGGTACGCATCCCCAGGCGTTCCTTCTTCACCACGACCATTTGGCACAGTAGTACGCTTGGCATCCCGTCGCCTTGAAAAGGAGCCCTTCATCTCCTCAGCTTTACTGTCACTTTCTGCCTCCCCCAAATACGAGCTTCCATTTTCGACTACAACTACACTTCTTCCACTTCAGCTGACCAACGTCTAACACAGGACAAATTCTTCTACTTCACCTCGCTTTCTCACTCCCTTCCACGCACATCTACCTTCACCGAGCATCAAGATGGCTGGCAAGAAGGGCATTCACTTCGGCGGTGGAAACATCGGCCGCGGCTTCGTCGCCGAGTTCCTGCACAACTCTGGCTACGAGGTAGTGTTCATCGATGTGATGGATGCCATCATCGAGAAGCTGCAAAAGACCAAGTCGTACGACGTCACGGAGATCGGGCCTGATGGACAAACGACATTCACGATCGACAACTACCGCGCCCTCAACTCCAAGAACGAGATGGAGAAGGTCGTTGAGGAGATCGCTACGGCAGACATAGTCACCTGCGCTGTTGGTCCTAATATTCTCAAGTTCATCGCCGAGCCAATCGCCAAAGGCATCAACCAACGCCAGAAGAAGGATCCGATTGCAGTCATCGCCTGCGAGAACGCCATTGGCGCCACCGACACGTTGAAGGGCTTCATCATGGAGAAGCTCAACGACGACACCAAGAGCAACCTCGACTCCAAAGCAAGATTCGCCAACTCGGCTATTGACCGGATTGTGCCGATCCAGGATGAGGATGCTGGGCTGAACGTCAAGATCGAAAAGTTCTTCGAGTGGTGCGTGGAGTCAGCACCTTTCGGCGGCAGTGAGCCTGACATCAAGGGCGTGCACTATGTCGAAGACCTCCAACCGTACATCGAGAGGAAGCTTTTCACAGTCAACACTGGGCATGCTACAGCAGCATACTACGGCCACAACCGTGGTAAGAAGTACGTTCATGAGGTGCTTGAAGACAAGGAGCTGCATGACATCGTGCAGAACACGCTCAAGGAGACGGCTCACCTCATCTGCTCCAAGCACACTCACATCAGCAGAGAGGAGCAGTCCGACTACGTTCAGAGGATTGTGAACCGCATCAGCAACCCCGTTCTGAAGGACGTCGTCGAACGTGTCGGTCGCGCCCCTCTCCGCAAGCTCTCCCGCAAGGAGCGCTTCATCGGCCCTGCCGCTCACCTCGCTGAGATGGGCGAGAAGTATGATTGCCTGCTCGGTGGCATGGAGATGGCTCTTCGCTTCCAGAACGTCGAGGGTGATGAGGAGTCTGCCGAGCTGGCCAAGATTTTGAAAGAGCAGAACGCCAAGGAGGCAACGAAGAAGTTGACCGGGCTTGAGGAGTCTCACCCTCTGTTTGCCAAGGTGTCGGAGGTTGTCGAGAAAGTGCAGAAGGACTCCGCTTAGAAGGCGGTTACTGACGCAACGAATGAGGCGCCGAAGGAGAAGAAGCTGGAAACCAAGGTGGAGACCAAGGTGAAGACCAAGGAGGTGATGATGGATGCCGTTTAGACGGCTCTGCGAAGCGTGCTCTGCGAAGTAGCTCACCGCCCAACGACTACCACGACTGTGATGAGCGACGAGAGATGACAGCGACGGCTCTTGCATGGGCCGGCGTAGGGTCTCTAGGCGATCTTTCTTCCTCGGAGACGTTGCTTCTGTGCTTTTCACAAGCTGCGGTCTCTGTCAAGTTGTGCATAGCACAAGCTGCAATGGAACGTTTTCACGATCCTCAGTCGTCTGCCACCTTCTCCTTCCTCTTGCAGTGATCTTCTTGCTCAGCCACGGGCTAGCATTGTACGTGGCTGAATCGTAGTGAACGGCGTTCCTTAGCATGTGAGTACACGACTGTGACCTCTGACGCGCTGTCTTGTAGGCTCTTAGGTCGGCTCTCGAATCACCAATGACTGTATGGCATCATCCGCAGCGACAATGAACATTGAAACCATAGCACGGGCCCTGCCGCGCATCGACAATCTTCTGACGTAGCGTCCTGCACCCCACACTTGCCTTACCTTTACCTTCATCCACTCATCAACAAGACCAAGGTCTACATGAACGCTGGACACCAGGACCGCTAACACCCAAGATTCGAACACTAGCTTCCTCTACGCTGTCACCCGAGGCGGCGATTCATCTCTCGCGGCATCACTTCTGAGAAGCCAGACCATGGCCATTGATCACATACCCTATCCCGAGAACCATCGTCTTGCGCACTCGGACCAGAAGACTTTCTACCCGGTTCGGATCCCGGTGTCTCATTGGCAGTTGCGACATTTCATAAGCAGTCCGGAGCACGACCTTTTGTTCTACGCGTCTGGGCACGACATCTACTGTCTCAATACTGCGACAAAGAAGCGCAAACACATCGCCACATTACCTTTCGAGGCGCGATGCACAGCTTCGGGGTATGGATACGTATGCGTGGGTGGGGAAGATGACGGTCACTTTGCTACGATTAAGCTTGAAGGCTCTGGGGCGAGGAGCGTGGACGTGGACGAGGCACTGCCGATAGACGATCGATGGAGACGAACACAGTCGCAGCAGCGGCGAGATCAGCAGAGTGAGATTGGAGATGGCATGGACAGAAGAGCAGCAAGTGTGAAGGTGGAGAGGATAGGCGAAGAGATAGTAAACTCGATCTCAATTCACCGGATTCAGGACGAGGACGCGCATCTGGATGACATTGTCGCTGTGTTGACGAACAATGACAAGACGGTGCGAGTATACAGCTTACCACAAAAGCTGGAAACTACGGTGCTGGACCTGCCTTTTGCTATGAATCACGCGACACTGTCTCCCGATGGGCGAATGTTGGTCGCCGTCGGCGACTTCAATCAAGCGTACTTTTTCCAGCGAGAGCTGCAGGAGGTACCGCCGCAGATACCGAAGCCGCACAACAGGCTCACGAGCGGGAGTGTCGAGTGGACGCTTACTAGTGTTGTCAACTTGCACATCGGTACACCGGAGAACACGACAGGCTTCTTTACTACAGCGTGGAATGAGAGTGGTCGGCTGGTCGCAGTAGGCTCCGAGGGCGGATACATTACGGTCTTTGATACAGAGATGTTGCAAAGCTCGGATTACGAAGATGAAGAAGCTATCGTAGCGGTTGTGCCATCCTCGCGGCCCGATCTCCCACAGCCTCATCCAGGCGCTGTGCGGTCAATGATGTTCGCGCCGGATCCGTGGGACCTGCTGGTCTGGGCTGAAGATCAGGGCAGGGTCTGCATTGGTGATCTGCGGACTGGCTTGAAGAGCAAGCAGATAGTCAACCTCGAGCCGAAAGACGAAGCATTGCGAAGGGTGGTGTATGAGGATGTGTCTCCAGAGAACACCCCGATATACATGGACCAAGGTGGCAGGGACGTTGATGATCTCGAGGCAGACTTCATTCGACGGTACAGGCAGGCGCCTGACAACGCTACCGCGGTCAATTTTGCTACTGAGTATATCGAAGCGAGGCGAAGACAGCGGCAGCATCGACAGGACGTGCTACGGCAGGGTATCGGCGCGCGGGCACGTCCGGTGAGACTGGAAGACGATCCGCAGGGCCTAACAGTACGCGAGCAGCAGATATTAGAGACTCTTCGAACGACGCGACAACGAGAAGAGGCTAGAACGAGTGGAGCGCCGTCACGAGCGGTGAATTACACGACGCCTGACATGTTCGGTAGCGGCAACCAGCCTACATCTGGCACAACATCGAGGGTCGACTCTCCTGCGGCCGCTGCACGACCGATTAGTGATGTTCTAAGCTCTGTGCCGGACTCATTTCCAGAGCTTGCGCGGACAAGCGCAGCAAGCCCTGGCCCTTCAACCGCGAGCCAACGTGAAGACGAGCCCCAAACAAACACGTTACCGACGCTCGTGCGTGCACTTGCCGATACTCCCTGGTCCCAAGTCCTCTCATCCAGCCAGGTGCGGCTAGGCGATGGCTCGCGCCTACCAAGACGCCGAGCCTCAGTTGTCCTCACACCCCCGGCTACCGGCTCAACCTCTACAAGCACCGCCAACACCTCTGCACCCCGACCCTCACAAACCCCTCGAGCCTTGCCTCCGACCGCCTCTGCAGCCGAAGACGAAGAGAATCCCTGGCGCACAATCGAAGCGCACATGACGCTCGCCCGCGGGCCCCTTTTCGAAGGCGCCGCACGCGCTCAGCCTACCTCCCCCTTACCAGCACCCGCTCGACCTACCGAGCAAGAACTCCAGCAAGAACTCATCGCCGAACGCACACGTGCGCGCTCCCTCGCCCGCCAACGTGACCGCTGGCGCGCTCT